TACGTACAAATAATGTCATAGGTGGATTTTTTTATAATGTTGTTTTAGAAGCACATATTTGTTTCTTTTTGGAAGATCAAAAATGGAGAAATAATTCATTGGGCATCTTTACAAATTAGAAAGAATAGTGATTCTCAAAGGGCTGAAGGAGATGACTAGGAACAAAGAAAATTTCAGCTGAGGACAGTTTTATAAACTGGGTTGTCAGATGATGAGAGTTAAGGTAAGGGGTCTCCTAAGATCTTGGTGAAGAGAAGGTAGTCATAGTTAAACCAGCAAAATTCACCTACAGTGGATTAGCCATTATGGGAATCCAGCAGGAGACTTCCTTTCATGTTAAAGTTTGGAACCTACAAAACTCCTGCTGAGTGATCTAGAATGATCTTAAGGTTGGCACTCAATTGTAATCAAGAACAAGGGAAACATACTTGATTGTACCACGATGAGTCTGGAGATTGACGATGAACAGGAAGGGTCTGGTAAGCCATGAAAATGGACAGTTGCTGAGGCCAAAGGTGCAGTGCTCTTGCAAGCATCATCTGGGCTTAGCTGAATTCAACACACAGTTCCCTTGGCACATCTTTCCCTCTGATGCGTGAGGGGACCTCGAGCTACACTTGCAAGACCCTTTGTGAAAACAACTAGCTCCTCTTCTTGTTTTCACTCCTTGCTCTCCCAGAAAGCACCAAAGAAACGTGGTTTCCTATAGAATCTGGCTTCTGAGGAATCAGGCCCACAGGGAGCAAATGCCCAGGGCAGGCAGACCCATGCGTTCCAGATGGGCTGACATTTCAGTTCTGGTTGCAATTAGTAAGCTGGCAGTCTGCTCCTGGTGTAAGTCTCTGTGAGTTGGCAAAAGTGAGGCTGCATCACAGTCACAGGCATCTTTAGAAATCTTTGAGGGCAGGTTTCTGTGTCCCTGAGGCTGAGAGGCGGACCCTTCAGTGTAGAGCATTCACTAAGGAAACATCTATGGGAAGCTTAGCAACGCCCCATTCTTGACATGGCACGAACTCGGAAGAGCCCTCCAGAGCAATGCATATTAGAATAGTAGCACTTTCTTCTGGTGATTTGAACAGTTTCTCTTAAAAGAACTTGCGCCTGAGACTTTAAATCTTTAAACACTATCTTTCAGAAACATTATCTTTCAGAATACCTAGTCTGTTTTTTTAATGACAGTGAAGAGCTGTTCCTGCGGTTCCTGAGAGTCCAAGTTCCCTGTTTTCCTTCAGTAATGATGACAGAGCGTGCACATTGCTTCATCAGAGCTCTCAGAATATTTCATCTTTCCTTTCTGATATTTAATTTTACAGTCAAGGCTCAAAATAAACAGACAGCCATTGAATCTAGGTTCTCTCATAAATAGCTTACATAATTGCTCTAAAATATGCACCAAGAGATCAACGGGTGCTCTCAGGGAATATCTTGTGAAAAAGCCCCAAAGCATTTGTCACCCTGGTGACAGAGAATCTGCTGAGCACTCCCCGAAAGAAAGACCTCCAGGAATTCCAAAAGGCCCTTTGGTAATCACCTGAATCCACACCCCAGCAGAAAATACGCCAGCCTCGTCAGAATGGCTTCAGCGATGCCTCCTGATTCAAGAAGTCTGCTGTTGACTAAGTGCTCTTTGCTGCTGTCTACCCTAATCATCACAGATCAGCCTCTTTTCTGGGTGAATGATTGCAACCCCAGCCACTGGCAAGACAAGATGGCATCTGCTGGAACCAGTGGTAGCATAATGTTTCAGACTCTGTCATTCACATAGTGTATTTGTGTTAATGGTTCTAATCGTCTTTACACAGTCAACTTAGCAATCGAAAGCCCCATCTCCAGTCAGGTTATCACCAACTCACCACCACTCTGGGTGCAGCAATAAAGGCTGGTATAATAACTGATGCAAAGCTGGTTGGCTGGTTTTATAGGCCAGAGAGGATGAAAAGGATGTAATACTTTGAATTTTCTAAAAGCTAAATGTCATATTATACAATCACATCTCAGCTGTAGGTATTACCTTGTCTGACAGATATGACTATTGTTTCCCTAAAATTGAGTTTTCTGCTTCTTAGGGACAAGGTTAAAAGACCTATCAAAAACATAGTAGTTGCTTGTCTGGGGTTGGAGAGATGCCCATGGGGCCCCAAAGAGCGTGCGTGCATGCCTCAGTGAGCAAGCCAAGATGAGTCTACTCATCACTGACAACTTCACTGTCTCAGTGGAAGTCCTTCCTTAACACATTATGTAACAGAGCAGAGCTTCTAGAAAAGTATGCCATGGAGTCTCTCTCACCTGAGTGAATTTATTGCCCCACTAAAATATGCTAGAAACTAGCAGACAGGGTGCCAAAATGTAGGCAACCACAGGCTTTACCCATTTGTTAAAAGAATTATCCAGAATTTACCTTAGACTTCAAGGTCATACTACTTCAGCTAGAACCAAGAAGGTGACAAACGTCTAATAGGACAGTGTGCTTGCTAAGACTCCTTGGTCAAAGGGAGAGGAGTCACCATGAAGGGTTTGGCATCCAAATGCTTCAGGATCTGAACACCTTTTACCAGGCTCACAAAAATCAGTGGGAAGGTGAAACGGGCAGTCTGGATGGCCTCCTCGCTTTCATTCCCTGGGAGAGGCCCACCCTCAGTGTCCTTTCGGAAAGGTCTGGGAGGTCTCTATGGCCCCGAACACCAGATGCACTGCCCAACTCTAAGCCCATGAGGGCAACAACCATATGTACTCTCTACTTCCCATCAACCAGCAGAGTGGCCAGCCCAGAGAACGGACCCAACAAATACAGAGCAAATAAATGAATCAACATGAAACATAATTGTCAGGTAGTAGATCCTGAAAAAATATGAGAAGTAACATGAAAATTATGCCATTCTGTTCTTGCTGGTCTCTACCAGTATATTTTATAAAGCACTAGAATTCTTTTTAAAGGCTATTCATCAAAGTTTTTAGAGGTACTTGCATTCCCAAGGAAGCTCACCAAAACACCAAGATAACTCTGTGTTGATTTGACCAGCCAAAGCAAAAATAAGCAGAGTCAGACTTCCATCATTACTGCACAGCTTTAGCTGGAGCCTTCCCACCCTTGTGGTAATAGTAATTACAAAGACCACAATAGTTAACACGTATGGGGCTTTTACCAAGTACCAGGTGCTGTGCTAAGGAAATCAGATGCATCATCTCAGTTAATTTCTTCAACAGGTTAACAAGGCAGGTACCATTACTCTTGCAATTTTATAGATGAGAATACTGAGGCTTCGAGGTATTCAGTGAATTGACCTTGAACAGAACAAGTAAGTGCAGGGCCAGGATTCAAGCCCGGTCTACCAGGTGCTGCAGCCTCGAGCCACAACCACTACACTCGATAAGCGTTTGCCAAACTGATTCCTGCGTCCTATTGTTTAAAAACATTTACTATCTGGTCATTACTAAGTGTTAGCATCTGCTTCTCTCAGAGATGGATTCTGTCAACTGGTAAGCCACTACCGCGATCCTCATCAGTAAAAATGGCTCAAGTGATTTTGCTTGGTGGAAAATTTCTTTATTGAATGGTAAGCTCCTCTTTGTTCTGTGAATTTCTCCCTCCTAAAATATGGTTGGGAACTGGCAGATGAGGTTGTCATTACTTAGACAGATACTTGCTTCTAGACCAGTGCTTCCCAAACTGTAACGTGTAAACAGATCACCTGAGGATCTTGTTAAAATGCAGGTTCTGATGCATCAGGGGGTCTGAGCATTTCTAATAAGCTGCAGGTCATGCTGATAAAGTGTGGCCCATGGACCAGAAGTAAGTATAAAGGATCTGGAAAACACTAGGAAGCAGAATCCAGATTCTCTGAACCCCAAACTCGATTCCAAGAGAAAATAAGAGGTGTGGAACAGAATATCTTTCAGCTAAACAATACAAGAAAGTAAGCCATCAAAAAGCCTAAAAGGTGTGGCCTTAGGCTTCAAACCAATCTAATGATCTATAGGGTATAATCTTGGTGGGTGCCAACACTACCTACCTTCTTGAATAATTATATCCATTCATCTAAGCAGTGCATACACCATCAATGCTGTTTAGTATCCTTGGCAACCAATCCACTAGTATTGTAGCTATCCTTCCTGAAACTCAGCTCCATGAGAATGGTGATGGGTCAAGGTGAAGTTCATGGGCCAGTAACAGAGCACCCATGGGCATGAAGAGGGCCCAGGCTGGGAAAGGCAGGCAGAAATGATGTGAAAGCCTGAGCAAAGAGCTCTGAGGTGCAGAACAGGATGGAAAAGGCCAAGTCACTGTCCCCTTATAATGTAAAATGCTTCTAACTTTCCAACATTTTGTGTTACATCATCATCAGAAAAATAATTCACCTGGAGTGAGGCGAATAAAGATGGATTAGCTCATTTAAACAATGGCATCGTAAAATGGGATCCCACAAAGAAAGAGAAAGCACAGATCAGAGGTGTGTGTATATATGCATATATGGACGTGTACGTATACACGTCCATATATGTATACACAGACACACATATACACTGTAGGAAGATTAGCAGGTCTTGCTCTGTGTCCTCAGCTTCAGAATGTGCTTTCCAGCCACTTCCACAATATTGGCCACTTCACCACCCCCAAGGATGTGCTGTGCAGGACACAGGCAATCCACTTACCAAATGGAGAACCCAAGGGTTCTTGCCATTTAGTTGGGTGCTTAAATGTTCTAGGTACTGCACCAAGTGCTTTATACACATTATCTTGTTTATTCACGTAACAACCTAGAATAAGGATCACTCTCGCCGGCTGACAGCTGAGGAAACCAAGGCTTGTAGAGTTAATGGAGTTGTTCACAGTCACACTGGGTAGAGGGCAGCCAAGGGCTCAGAACATGGGTCCGCCAGACTAAAATGCCAGCGCTCTTCAACATTACGTGAAACTTCCCCACCCGCATCCCAAGTCCCCTCATGGAAGCCACAATTCTGACAGTGTGTGGAGCACTGAGATTGAAGCCACGAAGACTTACATTGCCCTCTTTTTCAAAGTCGGGTGGAAGTAACTTCACGAAGTTATCAGGGAACACTCCTCGTCTGCCGTTGAGCTCTCCTTCCCACCAGCCTACGTCGATGCAGTCCTAGGAAACAGGAGAGCGGAGAATGAGAAATGGGGCAAGCACCCTCCCCAGAAAGAGAGGTCTGACATCCCTTTCAGAGAGAACGGAGGCCCATTCCTTGAGGCCACTATCAATGCGACAATGGTTACTAAGACTAAATCAGCACAAACCCCAAAGTCAGATGGAGAACAAAAACTTAAGTGTGCTATTGCTGCTGGGTGGGACTCAACAGCCAGTGCTGCCTTTAGATGCCCTGAACCAATAAGATCTTTTTTTTTTTCCTTTAAAGATGGGAGGATATGTATTTTACTCGTTTAAATTTTACTGAAATAAAATTATATCATTAACTGCAAACGTGGTTTAGAAGATATCACATGCACAAATGATCTCTTTGATTAGCCTGTCACAAAGCTTGTCAAAATTAAAAAGGGCTTTGCGACAGTCAGCCAAGCATAAGAAAAGTCACACTTTACGCAAGCTCATTAATGCACTGCTCTCCTTCACCTTCTTTCGATGTTGATGGGGCACAGTTGTCATCATGAAAAGCCCTTCCTCCATCTCAAGAACCCAATGTTTGCTCACTAAATGAATGAATAAATCTATTCATTCTTTCAGATCAAACCTGCTTCCCCCTGAATAATCCTTATTCTGTTTATTGACTCGTCAAACGTTAATTGAGTGCCTACTTTGTGCCAGGTGCTAGGGAGGGAGAGAGAGAGAGCTCAGCCTTTGCCAAGCTTCCATCCTGAGCCTGATAGCCTCATGGGTCTCCTGGGCACTCAACCTCAGCCATAAAGCCACTCCTATTTTTCCCCAAACTCAATTGGTTGGAACTCCGATTTGCTCTAGTTTTGTAATACATCTTGCATTTGTTCTCTGGGTCCAATTCCACTTCTCCACACCAATCCAAGACTTATCTGGCCTACCATAAACTTCCTTGCTTGGGCATTTCTTCTTGCCCAGTGTACGTACAATATATGCACCACTGTCAAGTACACATCCTTGAGTAAAAACTCAATTTCTCAGACTATGATCAACAACTTCCCAGTGAAAGCCCAAAATGAGTGAAGGCTTCCCAAAAAAAGCCAGTAACACAGAGGACTTTTAAAGTTACATCTGAGCAGGAAATGCTGAAGAAAGTGAGGGGATCACGCTTCGGGCCCATGGAGAAACACTCATGAGCCTCCACAGCACCAGTGGGATTGGGGAAGGGGCCAGGAGAGCTCAGGTAGCAGATGGGCAGCTGGCCTCGGGCCTGGCTGTAGAGGCCCCTGGAGGGTCATAGCTTATGTGACTCACTTGTGCCTTGCTAGATCACACATTCCAGCAAGGTGAGGAACACATCTGACGTTTTCATCGTTATAACCCAGCCCATTGCACAATGCCCAATATAGCAAATATTTGTGGAATCAGTGAAGACTCTTTCTAACCCCAGCTCTGTGATCTCTTGCAGTCCAACATTCGGGTTATTGCAGGACAAGATAGCCTCTATCTACGTTAACTTGTGATGATTCTATATAAATTTACATAGGGCCCACGTCGGGTGAGAGGTAAATGATCACCACCTTCCCTTCGCCCAGTGGTATCTGTTACAAGGATAAAACCAACACTTTAGAAGAGAACGTGGGTTTTGGAAATGGGTCCTTAGTCCCAACCAACATCAAAAACAAACACACTTGAAGCATCAAATTCAGATTTACCCAGAACAAAACAAGGTTCAAAAGACTTATAACATGAGAGAATGTTTATCCTTCTTGGAAAATGATGAGAAGCCCAGGTAAATATTCTGGTCCTGCTCACGTCATACCATCCCCTAAAGAATCTAGCATCAGTCCCCAAAGAAGGGATTCACAAACAGGGATGGTGGTGGCAGAATTTTATGGCTTCTGACTCTGAGATGTTATGTCATCAATGATAGCAGAAAAACTTATGAAGGAGTAGTGGGTGGAATTTCTTTACTCCTGATCCTGAGAAATTAAGTCTGTCGATCCAGAAGGCTTTGCATCTGAGGAAATGCCTGGCACACTTTTTTCCTCATCTTTTTCTGAACAGGTCCTTCTCATCTTCAAAACCCAACTTGAAACTCACCATTAGGAAGGTGACTATAATGAATGCTTTATCTTTTCTCTAACACTCACAACTGTGTTAATTTGCACTTCATGATATTCAATTCAACAAATATCTACTGAATGCAAAATATACTTAAGTTCCTTCTATAAGGCACCAAACATTAAACATGCAAAGAACATGATCCCTAACTCCCGGGAGCTTAGAGACTTATGTGCAAGACAGACAATATTACACAAGGTCTTTTTTGATAACAAGTATCAACCAAGAGCTCTGGTGCCAAAGAAGAGAGAATCATTAACAGCTTTTCAAATAATCTTAAATCTTTTTCATGTGTGAAAGGTTTGTTTATGCGAGGACTGGACTTCCCTCCACATTTATTTCAGATCATATGATACAGAATTACGTCCACAAAAGGCACTCAAATATTGTTAAGTGCTACATTTCTTTTAAAAGGCTTTCTTTCGAACTTTCTAAATGGTGCAAATCCATGTTTCACCTTAGCCTTACGAAGCAGTAACCCAAGAACCAATGTAATGAAATCTTTTGCTTCATAGGTGAGAAAAACCAACAAAGAAAATTTTGATAAGCAAAAGCACATCCAGAATAACTTTAGAACTCCTGCCGGCCTACAGGGGAAAACAGTGCTTATGAAATTATATTTACTATATCCCCATCAGTGGGGAATGGCTTGGATGGCTCCTCTATACTCTCTTTCTTAAGAAATGATTAACAGTGCCAATCACTGCATCGCTCAAGGTAAGAGAGGGAAAGCAGAACACAATATGTCTAACTGTCCTGATTGGTACAAGAACAAAGACAAGGCTCGTGGATGAGAGAAGCACATTCCAAAAAGAAAACTGCCACTGTGACTTAGAATACTAAGAAAAGTGAAAAAAGAAGCTCGTTGCAGGACAGAAAACAGCCGCAGGATCAAGATGCCTGGAGTGGGTTGGAGATTTTCAGAGAACCGAGGCTGTTTTTCTCCCCTAGTGATAGAAGCTAATTTAAGGGAAACAGGAACAATTTTGACAGCAAAAAGAGAAGTGAAAGTAAGTCCTCTGACAAACCAGACAAAAGAACCAGCCTTTTGATGGCAGAGATGAGGAGAGAATTATTCGTATGAGGGCTGTGTGATTCCAGAAGCGTAAAAGAGCAGTGAATTCAATTTATTTACTGAGGACCTAAAACATGTAGGGTAGGAGAGGAATTCAGGAGAAAAAAGATCATCATGTCTTTCTGGGGCTCCCAAGCTCAGAGCCTTGTGGGAGAGGCAGACACAGTGAATCAATATGGCACAGAGACACTAGCAGGAGTGCTAGCCTAGATTTAAAAACAAGTTGGACCAAGAGACATTGGGCAGCCTGGAAGGAGAGAATGAAAGCAAGAAGCAAGGTGATGAGAAAGGTTAAGGGCAGGATCACCAAGCATGAAGAAAGAGAAGAGGGAGAGTAGGAAGCTGGGGTCACAGAAGAGAATATTCAAGAATTGGCACTTCGAGTGAAGGTAGTGCTTAGCTTCCAGGAGGCTGCCAACCAATGTCTACTGAACAGTGATGTGAGGCAAGATGGCACCCATGAGTGACAGGGACCGAATGGAGGGACAGGTTATCAATGACTTGTGAGGCTAGAATGTCATCAGGGTGGAGTGCATGTCCCCAGAGAGGATGGCAAAAGGTGGGGGAAGGAGAGAGGCAGTGTGGCCACAATACTGGAAGATTTTAGGGTGACTTTAGGCAGGTGAGGGGATGGCCTCTGAATGAGGTGGGAGTTTGCGGTGGGACAGAGTAAAAGATAAACATGTAGATGAAGATTTCTGGAACAATGATGATTAGACATAAACTCTATTGGCATGAAAGCAGACCTGGACCCTCATCAAGGGTCAAGGGAATGGAAAGAATTCTATTTCTCACACAGATGCTCACTCTTCCATGATCAAGTCCTTAAAATGGCCCAAATGGTTTCTCTATGCTTCTTCACCAGGTATATATTACAGTAAAATACGATATTTTTCCTTCTAAAATACAAATGTTTTTCCTTTTAAGGAACGAATAAACAAAACCTTAGGTGTGCTGTACTCCACCCTCTATGTTCTGTACTCTCTCGGGTCATCTAAGTATCTCAGAGAGAAGGGTCAGAGGGAGAGAGTTCAGAGACACCCAAGACACCTCCTAGAGAGAAGGGAGCAAACTTGGGCCGCCTGATACATCAGTGGTCACTAGTGATAAAAACCCCAGGTCTCAGTCCCTTGATACACAGGAAAATCTTCGCGAGGTGTAAAGAGCGACACAACTGCTGGTGGTTGTTACTGTCATTACTGTGATTCTATGGACCGGTCCCAGAGACCATGAGGGACACTGTGGCTGGGAAAGCTTCTTAATTAAGCTCGCATGCATTTGTCACGTGACTCAGCACCACCCTCAGGTGAAAGCCCCTGGCAGCAGCTCACACACTTGGAGGAGGGCCAAGGAGAGAGATGCCAAGGCCCCAGCGTGTGTCTGAGCAGGGAGGCCTTGCCCAGACGTCAAAATCATGCCTCAGTCCGCTCCATACTGCCAGAGAGGCCCGAGGGAACATGGCTGAAGTGCTCCACCTCTTTGCACAGCTCTGGCACCAGAGACCAGCTAAAGGCCGCTCCCTGACATACAACCTGTTGGCAGGGAGCCCCAGTGAGCTCTGGTGTGTCTGCCTCTACTCTAGGCACTTCAAGTATTTAGAAAAGACAAACTTGCCACCTGTCTTGTAAATTTGTTAAAAGAATGAGCCACAATATCATCCTGGGCTCCATTTTGTCAAGAGTGCAAAGCAACATATTAGATCAGTGTTTCTCAAAGCTGGCTGCACATTTAGAATCCCCTGGGGAATTTTTAAAAATCCCAATGCCTGGGCTACACCCCACACCAATTAAATCACAATTTCTGGGGGGTGGGACCAAAAGAATCAGTTCTTTTCAAA